TAGGGTTGGGAAAAGTGTTAAACAGCAGGACCGATAAGGTCCAGAGAGGTGATTCTGCCACTTTACTCTGCTCTGGTGAGACCTCACCTGGAGTATTGTGTGCAGGTCTGGAGCCCTCAATATAAGAAGGACATGGACCTGATGGAGAGGGTCCAGAGGAGGGCCACAAGGATGATCAGGGGGATGGAGCACCTCTGCTACGAGGACAGGCTGAGGGAGCTGGGGTTGTTCAGCTGGAGAAGAGGAGGCTCCGGGGAGACCTAATAGCAGCCTTCCAGTACCTGAGGGGGCCTACAGGAAGGCTGGGGAGAACCTGTTTAGAAAGGCCTGCAGTGACAGGACGAGGGGCAATGGCTTCAAGCTGGAGGGGAACAGATTTAGACTGGAGATGAGGAGAGGGTTCTTCACTGTGAGGGTGGTGGAGCACTGGAACAGGTTGCCCAGGGAGGTGGTTGAGGCCCCATCCCTGGAGATATTCAAGGAGAGGCTCGACGAGGCCCTGGACAACCTGGTCTAGTTGGGGGTGTCCCTGCTGACTGCGGGGGGGTCGGACTAGATGGCCTTTGGAGGTCCCTTCTGGCCTGGGCAATTCTATGATTCTATGATTCTATGATAATTTATCCCATGAGGTGAAGATGGGGTCTTGTCTCTCAGCGTAACCATCTCCTCCTACACGCTCCATACCCAACGAGCCATCCACCAAAGAAAAAGATGGGTCAAAAGGTAAGGAATCACGGAATTGTTGGAGTTAGAAGGGACCTTCTAGAGACCATCCAGCCCAACTCCCCTGCCAAAGCAGGGTTGCCCAGAGCACATAACTCGGGAGCATCCAGGTGGGGCTTGAAGATCTCCAGAGAAGGGGACTCCACACCCTCCCTGGGCGAGGGATGAGCATAACCCTTCAAAAACGCCTACACTTGGGGCAAGAGAACAGACCTTCACGTTTCTGCAGAATCAAACTGTGCTGAGTATCTTGACTTTCTCTCTTCAAGCCTAAGGAGCTTGAAGAACTCGGCAAAAATTGAAATGGAGTTATTTGACACACGTGCCAGAAGAGTTATGGTGTCCAACAGAGGTGTTGCTGGTGGCACGTGGTTCAGTTTAACGAGAAGACAGGAAATATCATTACCTTTTAGACACTGAGGAAGTTCTGCCCCAAAGGGCAAGGAAGTGGGTGACAACGCTCCAGAATATAACAGTATGTGACACCTCTGACAAGGATCTGGAGATCCAAAGGTCCCTTCCAACCATGAAGATTCTGTGAGACTGCTAAGACTGTGAGCAGAGCCTGAAGGGGTAACAGCAAAACCTGCTTTGTCTCTCCTGTACCTTCATCTTTTCAGCAGCCCTTCACCTTCTTGCATAAGAACTCGGTGCTCTCTTCCATCTCAAACTTCACGTTTTTAATCAGGCAAGAAAGGATAGTATTTTGCTTTTTTAAAATGCATTTATATCCCCTGGATAAGAGACGGTATCAAAAACACTGAACTAAATATTCGTGGGATTACATCCCAAAAACCTAAGTGAAAGGCCATACAGACTTCTCCTAAAATTACTTTTTCCTACCGTGACGCTCTAGTTCTACGGGTTCTCCTCAAAAAAATGACTTACAGATGGTACAGATCTCTAATACACTCCTCTCCCCAAACCAGTAAGCATCTGGCGTGCCTACTGTTTAATTACACAACAGGCTCAGGCAGGAGGAAACGTTTTCAAGCCTGGAAGCTTATGTTCCAACTCTGATGATACCCAGTAGCAGGAGCCGTTCGCGGTCAAGAAAAAACAAGAGTTTTCAAGGGGTAAGAAAAACACTATTAACACACAGCAAGTAGATGTTCTGTAAGTTTTTATACGTGTGAAGACAACAAGGGGAAACAGTTTTAAACTAAAAGAGGGGAGATTGAGATGAGATCTCAGGAAGGAATTCTTTGCTGTGAGGGTGGTGAGAGCCTGGCCCAGGTTGCCCAGAGAAGCTGTGGCTGCCCCATCCCTGGAGGGGTTCAAGGCCAGGCTGGATGGGGCTTGGAGCAACCTGGTCTGGTGGGAGGTGTCCCTGCCCAGGGCAGGGGGTTGGAACTGGATGATCTTTAAGGTCCATTCCAACTCTAACCATTCTGTGATCCCGTGATTCGTTGTGAAGAGGCTGACACAATGCAAATTTTACAAGAAACTCTACGAGAATTTCGTTAAATCGTTGACCACCACTGATCATAAACGCGAAGACTCAAGCCACAAAACAGCCCTAGTTTATGCTGGAAACCAATATAACCTGGCTGCATGGCTGGATTTTTAGGTGTTTTAATGCAAATTTTACAAGAAACTCTACGAGAATTTCGTTAAATCGTTGACCACCACTGATCATAAACGCGAAGACTCAAGCCACAAAACAGCCCTAGTTTATGCTGGAAACCAATATAACCTGGCTGCATGGCTGGATTTTTAGGTGTATACCGAGTTAAAGCAGACCTCAACTATTATTCTAGCCTACCATCTTCAGAAATACATGTTAAAGTAGTTCATCTGTAACTTTTCTATTCTAACAAAATGCTTCTAGGAAGGCTGACACCCCGAATTGTTTAATGACTGAAGAGTGCACTCCCTCTGCTGGCACAGCACAGCTGTCACACTCTGCTGATTGCACTCATCTCTGTCTCTGCATCACAACACTTCTTCACATTTCCACCTGCTGGAGTCGTGCTAACATTAAAAAAAAGTCTGCTAAATGACTTTCATGGCACAGCACAGCTGTCACACTCTGCTGATTGCACTCATCTCTGTCTCTGCATCACAACACTTCTTCACATTTCCACCTGCTGGAGTCGTGCTAACATTAAAAAAAAGTCTGCTAAATGACTTTCATAAGAGAAACTTTCAAAGGGCTACAAAGATGATGAGGGGACTAGAACATCTCTCTGATGAGGAGAGGCTGAGGGACTTGGGTCTGTTTAGTCTGGAGAAGAGAAGGCTGAGGGGGGATCTGATCAACACCTATAAATCCTTCAAGGGTGGGTGTCAGGAGGATGGGGCCAGGCTTTTTTCAGTGGTGCCCATGGACAGGACAAGAGGAAATGGGCACAAACTTGAATATAAGAAGTTCCACCTAAACATGAGGAGGAACTTCTTTGCTGTGAGGGTGGCAGAGCCCTGGCAGAGGCTGCCCAGGGAGGTGGTGGAGTCTCCTTCTCTGGAGACATTCCAACCCCACCTGGACACGTTCCTGTGGGACCTGCTCTGGGTGGCCCTGCTCTGGCAGGGGGTTGGACTGGATGATCTCCAGAGGTCCTTTCCAACCCCGTATCATTCCGTGACTCTGTGCCCATTAATAACTGACTTCTCCAACAGAAAACCTTGCAGGAGCACGACAGGACACCGTGCGCCACAACCCTCGGTCACCTAAAACGCAGCGCTCATCAGGTTGGCAGTAATTTTCCAGCTGAAAAGTGTGGGAAGACTCACTGTTGCAGCATTTCTAACTTTGCAACACGCAGTTCTGAGACCGACAACAGGGAGAGTCAAGCCCAGGTTGCTCCAAGCCCCATCCAGCCTGGCCTTGAACCCCTCCAGGGATGGGGCAGCCACAGCTTCTCTGGGCAACCTGGGCCAGGCTCTCACCACCCTCACACCAAAGAATTGCTTCCTGAGATCTCATCTCAATCTCCCCTCTTTCAGCTTAAATCTCCCCTCTTCTTAAATCTTAACAGAAAGAAGCACTGTTTTCAGACACCCTGGGCCGCCTCACGTGGAAGCAGCACACCTGCAGTTTGGACTCCCCAAGAGCACTGCACTAGGTTCATTTAGTATTAGATTCATTTCGTAATTAACCTAAGCAGAACAGCCACAAGGAAGTCAAATCTTTCAAGCCAGCTTCAAAACATCCAAAAGTTTGGCTCTGGGAGGCAAGGTTCACCCTCAGCTGAGGGAGATGCAAGCTTTGTGACGCGTAAGGAGAGAGAAATGAAGACTCAGCAGTGAACGACCCCAAGGGGTTTCTGCAGGACTCACATCGACTCTGTGTGGGGTCAGCAGCTGCTCTTACCTCTGCCCCTTTTAAACCTCGAAATGCCAGGATGAAAATCTGATTTTGGAACGGGCCTCACGTTAATAATAAACAAGGGAAGAGCCATATGTTGTAGCCTGAAGTCAGGTTGGTTGCTTCCCAATAAAAGCTTCCGTTTAAATAGCAAAAAGGGGAAGGTTACTTTACTTCAAAAGTTAACTAAACGCTCCACTGAGCTGGGTTTTCCTTCTTGCTCATGGATTTCACAGAAAATAAGCGCTTTCTCACTACGGTGTACAAAAAAAAAACCCCTTAGGTACACAGAAATAAGGGTTGCCGGGAAGTACAGATGGTGGGGGGGAAACGAGAGATTTACAAGAAGAACTAGAATGAGGAGCATGAAGAAGCATTAAGTGTTGTTTTGGGTACACACCTTCCTCTTCTAAATAGCCAACAGGTACCTTTGCGACAAATTACACTTCAGACAACAAGCAGAGGAGCCCCATCCAACAATCAGAACCTCTGGGTTGCTCCAAGATGAAAAATGAACCCAAGAGGTGAAAGCCATCCCTTCAGACAACCGAAACTGCACCGTCAAGAAGGAGCATTGGTGACATTCCTTCTTGCTCATGGATTTCACAGAAAATAAGCGCTTTCTCACTAAGGTGTACAAAAAAACCCCCTTAGGTACACAGAAATAAGGGTTGCCTACCCCGGGAAGTACAGATGGTGGGGGGGAAACGAGAGATTTACAAGAAGAACTAGAATGAGGAGCATGAAGAAGCATTAAGTGTTGTTTTGGGTACACACCTTCCTCTTCTAAATAGCCAACAGGTACCTTTGCGACAAATTACACTTCAGACAACAAGCAGAGGAGCCCCATCCAACAATCAGAACCTCTGGGTTGCTCCAAGATGAAAAATGAACCCAAGAGGTGAAAGCCATCCCTTCAGACAACCGAAACTGCACCGTCAAGAAGGAGCATTGGTGACAGGACACTTACCTTACACACGGCCATGATGTTGATGTTGATCATTTTGTCGATGGTCTGCAAGAAAACAAAAGTTTGGGGTTATGTTGTTTCAAGTTATTTGATGGATATTCACTCACCCTCTGGGTGACGGGATAAATTCCGGATTAATTAATCCAGGATAAATTAAACATCCACCTTCACTCCTTGCCTTCCTGCTTAGGTTTTCAGGAGTCAGTGTCTTGCTCTTGGTCAAGTTTTCTCTCTGAGTCTGAGGGACTCAGCCCAATAAAGGACAACACAGACCTATCCCACTGACACTGTATTTCCTAACGCTATTGGCAATATTTATGAACCCTTGCCTTCCTGCTTAGGTTTTCAGGAGTCGGTGTCTTGCTCTTGGTCAAGTTTTCTCTCTGAGTCTGAGGGACTCAGCCCAATAAAGGACAACATTGCTATTGGCAATATTTATGAATTTTAATAAATTCTGTTGTTTTAGACGTGAATAGATACAAATATTACGAAGCCTAACAGAAGGTGAACCCCAAACCCAGGTAGGTTTATCAATACTTGAGCAGAAAGCCCAGACCCACAGTCAATACAGTGAGCGAGCGACAGGGGTTTTTGGAAAGAAAATCCTGGAAGTGTTCATAGTCAGAGTTTTCAAAGTACTTGATGCAACCAAGACCTTGAGCAGAAAGCCCAGACCCACAGTCAATACAGTGAGCGAGCGACAGGGGTTTTTGGAAAGAAAATCCTGGAAGTGTTCATAGTCAGAGTTTTCAAAGTACTTGTCCCTACGTTACAAAATCTCTATCATATTTAAGTTTCATAACAGTGTTATGGAATATTCAGCTTCCATTTGTGAAATTGCTCACTTCCCTTCCCTTCATGGTTAAAGACCCCCCCCAGAAGCTAAAGCAACTCAAGAAGAGCCCCCGGGTGAGACCATGGACAGGAGGGGAATTCAGATACTGACCCCAGAGCTTTGTAGAAATATAAAAATGAAGAAGCTGGGAAGAGCAGACATAAAAACCAACCTGAACTAAACATCACCTGAGGTGTGTTATGTTGCTTATGTAAATCTCTTCACTTTTGGAACCCTTAATTCTTACCAGACAACCTTGTTCTGCGAGTACTTTAACCAAACTTAAAGATATTTGTTGTACCTGTTAGGCACCTAGTTCTAAAAAAGAGAACACCAGAAAGTACTACAAAGACACTTACTTTGTCCAGGTCTGGAACATCAAGAAAATATTCAGGATAAACATACGAAATCCCCACGTTGTTGACTGAAAGGAAAGCACAAAGTTTTAATTAGATCTCTTGGATGCCATCCGATTCCTAATGCTCTGATTAACGCCAATTTTCAAGCAATACTCTTAAAAAATGTTTGCATTTAAAACATTCTAAGCTCTTTAGCCAAGTTTCCTTAACTGTAAGCATTAAACTGGAACTTCCTCTGGTGGGAGGTGTCCCTGGAACTCGATGGTCTTTAAGGTCCCTCCCAACCCCAACCACTCTATGATTCTACACTAAATATTCTTGTGCACACACGAGCGGAATATGCACGTATGGTCAGGGGAAACCAGGGGATTTTAGACCTGTAAATGTTAATTCTCTGATTGTTTAAAAGCTGGCATGTTTAGCACATTGTACCCGTCTTCCACCGCTTTTCCCAGCGCAGGGGAAGGAGGTTTCCTCTTTTAGAAATATGTCAGCAGCTTCGGGGCGACATCGCGGAGACACTCCTGCAGGAATGGAGTTTGGAGGCAAAGAAAAGCTCTCCGTGCCCGGCAGGACGTGATGTGAAACTGTTTTAACATGGTTTTTTTGATAGATAAGTGAAGGAAGATACAAAAGCGTGGCCAGTGGATCATGGGAGGTGATTCTTGGCTCCTCTGCTTCGCTCTGGGAATTTAGATGAGATCTCAGGAAGGAATTCTTTGGTGTGAGGGTGGTGAGAGCCTGGCCCAGGTTGCCCAGAGAAGCTGTGGCTGCCCCATCCCTGGAGGGGTTCAAGGCCAGGCTGGATGGGGCTTGGAGCAACCTGGTCTGGTGGGAGGTGTCCCTGCCCAGGGCAGGGGGGTGGAACTGGATGATCTTTAGGGTCCCTTCCAACCCAAACCATCCTATGATTCTAAAAGAACCTCCTGGTCCATCTCCCCAACGCTCTCCCCGAGGTGTCCCGAGGGCTGGAGGTCACCCATTGCTTGGGGACCCCCAGGCGTTCCGGGGGGCCGGGAGGTGAGGGCTCCCTCGGTCTGTCGATCCCTCGGTCGGCCGGCAGGTGGCAGCAGGAGCCCGGGCGGCGCTGGCCCGGCTCGGGGCGGGAGGAGGCGGCTGCGGGTCCAGCTCCTCGCACCCCCGCATCCCCCCCGCACCCCCCCCGCACCCCCGCACGTTATCCCTCTCCGAACAAGGCCTTCTGCTTTGCTGTGGCCGCGCAGCCAGGGGCTCGGTCCATCTGCCAAAACCTTTCCCCCTCGGCAGCCTTAAGAATCGACCCAGAGAACGGTACCAATGACTTAAACCCAATATTATTATTATTTTCCAACACTTCAGACTCTGTGGATTTTATTCTCCAACTCCCACATCCATTCCCGAATCCCTAACAACAAATAGGGGAAAAACTCCTCCTAACACCACTCGGCAGCCTCCCTCGCTTCCAACTTCACAAAGCACGTCCAGATGGAGACAACACCCCCCACCCCAAAAACAAAAAAAAACCCCACACAAAAAAGCAAGCAAATGGGATCTCCGTTTCCTAAGTATCTCTTGTTCATCTTACGCAAGCGAATCGGGTGACATTCGGTTGCTGTGGCAACATTTTACATTTATATAGTGTCTTACACCCCAGAGGATCCCAAAGAGCTCGCTCCGGGGGCTCAACCCCACCCCGAGAAGAAACACCCCTCAAAAAGGGCTACCTGACGCCTTCGTTTGTTTAAATAAAATAGCCTTTACGTGCCAAAAAAGCTCTCCTTTTTACCATCCAGCCTGAATTTAAGAATCAGCAGGGAGGCAGGGGCTCGGGCGGGAGAGATGCTGGCAGAGCTCACAAACTTCATTCAGAGATTCCCCTGGAACGACAGCATCGTCAGGCTGTTTCTGGAAACCCTTTGCCTCCTGCCTTTCCAATTTTTAAACTTTTCGATAACCTTTAAAAAAATAGGGGAATTGAGGAAGAACAGGGAGAGCTGGCAAATCCCCAGCAGACATTGGCTATATTTAGAAAGAGAGAAAAGTTTTGAAAAGGGAGAAGGTCTAAATCTCGCTGTTGCAAGAGCAAAGCAGGTTTGTTTGGGTTTTTTTTCTTTTCTTTTTTTTTTTTTCCATCCTAAAATAAACAATTTTTTTAGTCCATCTCTCCGGAAAGGATTTCGGCTATGAAGGGTGGCAGGGGTTTTGGGGACTAACCTCGGGTATTCTCTCCAAATTCAGAATATTGATAGGATTCAGGCACCAAAATTCACACCCCTTGCTGAAAAGCGGGTCCCCGGATACGTAACCCTTCCACTTGCAGAGATCATTTTCTCCACCACATCCTCCATCACCACAGTTTGGAAGAGAAGACTATTAATAAAATTACTTTTTCCCTTTAATCCAGGCGTATTTTACCTACAGGAACGTGGCAAACAACAGGGGAAGATCCAGGCTGGCTAAAAAAAAACCTTCTGAGAATTGCAGTAATTTATTTTTTTTTTAAAAAAAAAAACCCCAGCCAAAAGAAAGCTTTCCCACCTCTGCTTGTTTAACATATTGCTGGAGCTAGCACATGTTGGGAGTCACTGACAGACGCTGTTTTGAACACACAGCAAAACATTATGCAAACTCTTTTAGCCTTCCCTAACGTGGGTGAGGAGAAGCGCTTCCAAATAAGAAGTTTACAGGGATTTCAATCTGGAAAGGACTGGAGTTTAAGACTCGGCGCAACTAGATAATGGGAAGCTCTGTCTGGAGCAGCCCCTGCGGAGACTCCCCTGTCTCTAACTCTAAGTAGAAGGCTAAAAAAAATTAAATAAATAAAAAATAATCAGCATCGATCACTGGCAACTTGTGCCGTGCTACCAGTCGTATAAAAAAAAAAAAAATAAATAAAAAATAATCAGCATCCTTTTTTTTTTTTCCATCCTAAAATAAACAATTTTTTTAGTCCATCTCTCCGGAAAGGATTTCGGCTATGAAGGGTGGCAGGGGTTTTGGGGACTAACCTCGGGTATTCTCTCCAAATTCAGAATATTGATAGGATTCAGGCACCAAAATTCACACCCCTTGCTGAAAAGCGGGTCCCCGGATACGTAACCCTTCCACTTGCAGAGATCATTTTCTCCACCACATCCTCCATCACCACAGTTTGGAAGAGAAGACTATTAATAAAATTACTTTTTCCCTTTAATCCAGGCGTATTTTACCTACAGGAACGTGGCAAACAACAGGGGAAGATCCAGGCTGGCTAAAAAAAAACCTTCTGAGAATTGCAGTAATTTATTTTTTTTTTAAAAAAAAACACCCCAGCCAAAAGAAAGCTTTCCCACCTCTGCTTGTTTAACATATTGCTGGAGCTAGCACATGTTGGGAGTCACTGACAGACGCTGTTTTGAACACACAGCAAAACATTATGCAAACTCTTTTAGCCTTCCCTAACGTGGGTGAGGAGAAGCGCTTCCAAATAAGAAGTTTACAGGGATTTCAATCTGGAAAGGACTGGAGTTTAAGACTCGGCGCAACTAGATAATGGGAAGCTCTGTCTGGAGCAGCCCCTGCGGAGACTACCCTGTCTCTAACTCTAAGTAGAAGGCTAAAAAAAAAAAAAATAAATAAAAAATAATCAGCATCGATCACTGGCAACTTGTGCCGTGCTACCAGTCGTACCAGATGAGACCCAAAAGAAGAAAATATACTGGAAACCTGAGATTTCATTCCTTGTGGCTGGTCTCGTTTAAACCCATGGTTTTTCTCCCCTCCACCCCCATGAAAAACACAGATCAGCAAAAGCCACATTCCAGATTACACCCATTTAAAATATAAGGCACTAAAGCGTGAAATTAATTGCCATGGAAAAAAAAAAATAAAAAAATAAAAAAATTAAGATGGGGTTCTTTCTGGAGTAGCCATCATCTGTGTTGAAAAATTACACCGGCGAGTGGTTTCTATTAATACAGCTCTATCTGGGGAAAAGGAAAAAAAAAAAAAAAAAACCAAAAACCCAAACCCTACATATCATGTAATCTGATGAACCCAAGCATGAGATTTACTAAAACTGCTAGTGATTAGTTAGAAGAGAGATTTCTGTAAACCTGCGCTGGCAACGGCTGCGAGAGAGAGAGAAAAAAAAAAAGAAAAAAAAAAAATAAAAAGAAAGCAGAGGAACTCAGCTAGAGAATACACAACTCCAGAGCCTTCCGGTGCTATTTTTACCCTGTTTTTAGTCAAGGTGCTCATGCAAATAAAAGCAAGAGCCAAGCTCTGCTTGAGGAACGGTGCTTGTTTTCCTGGCACGAAATTGGAGACACGTTCCCTGCTTTCAGGGTGCACTAGGGAGGGTGGGATCGGCAGGATTTTGGGCATCACCAATAACCTGGGAAATAACAACCCCCCTTCTCCAGGGTGGAGGCAGCAGAGGGTCTGCTGGTGTTTGGAGACACTCTTGTGTCTGTGACGGGCAAAGGCTGGCGTTCCCCGAGTTGATTTTGACAGATTAATTAATTTGAACATTAATTTGAACCTCCCAAGTTTCTTTGGAACTTCTCCCCTCCCCGAGTCAGAAGCAGGGCACCCCCAGCTCCCCCACGACTCCTCTCCCCACACAGCACATTGCAATCACTCCCAGGGATTTGCATCTTCACAGCAATTAAACACCGCACGGCACGAGTTGCACGTACTCAAATCTCTGTCAGAAGCATCAGGGAACATTCTGGGCTTTATCCTTCCATCTTATTTTTTTAACTGATTTTTTTTTGTATACACACTACTTCCCTGGGCATTATTTGCAGACATAGCACAACAAGATCCATCTATTAGCAACGGAGTTCATAGGGTATCCCATAGATCAGAATTTATGTTGAAACATGCTTTTTTTTTTAAAAACAAAAACAGGTTCTAGCTCTAATTACCACACTTCAGGTCCATAAAATTAATTTTGCAGCGAAAAAGCAGTTTATCAAATGGCATATACGAGTAGATGTCTGTGAAGTTTCACACCCTACGTTTAACCACCGCAGGTGCCCGTCCCCACATCGAGCTCCTGGAGAAGTGCAGGAGATGCAGAGGGGCTTCCAAGGAAGGAACCAGAAAACTGGTAAGAAACTGCCTTCCCACCACTGTCCAGAGAAGATCCAGGCAGACCACTGGCAGGTTTAAACTCTTCTTCACTTGAAATCACCTTAGTCCTACGGTTGAAAAAGGAACTGGATGGATCACCTTGGTTTTTTCAAGACTACCATGCTCCTGTGATATCCCAGACCATAACTGGGTGGATGGTGTTGCTACCAGCAGAAGAACCACAGCTCACCAACACCACCAGAAAACACGCTTAAAACTTTTGAAGCAGAAGCCAGTCACTATGTTGTAATGATTACATTTCAACTGCTTCATAATTAAAAAGTTAAGGGTTCTCCCACAGGGCTCTATCATTAATCTGAGTATCTGGAGCTTGTTTTGGTTCTAAAGACGGCTCCAGGAGAGATGGGGAGGGACTCTTGGTCAAGAAGTGAAGCCATAGGATGAGGGGGAATGTTTTTAACTGAAGGAGGGGAGATTTAGATGAGATATTAGGAAGAAATTCTTTGCTGTGAGGGTGGTGAGAGCCTGGCCCAGGTTGCCCAGAGAAGCTGTGGCTGCCCCATCCCTGGAGGGGTTCAAGGCCAGGCTGGATGGGGCTTGGAGCACCCTGGTCTGGTGGGAGGTGTCCCTGCCCAGGGCAGGGGGGGGGAACTGGATGATCTTTAAGGTCCCTTCCAACCCAAACCATTCTAGGTGTTAGGTGAAGCCACTGTGGACACCATCATAAGCCTAACAGCCTTCAGCCATCCCAGAATAACACATGGAAAACCTTCAAAAAGCATCCCAATCCCTGGAACCTCAGCACACCTGCAAGCACCGTCTCGTGTCGCGCATCAACAGGGAGCTAAAAACCACACCCCACCGGCAGCAACGCGGCTTCAGTGGGGCAAACGTGAGCTTTTTGTGAACTGGTTTCAATAAACTCCAATAACAGGAAAAAGTGAGTAGGCACCTCAAGAGGAACCACCACTGGGAAAGAGTGAGATGAGACACCAACCTAAAACACCGATCTCCAGGCCTTCCAATCCCGCTGCGATTCTACCGTAAATATCTTCTCTCTCTCCAAAGTCTGCCACGATGACTTTTGTTTCCACTTTGTACTTCTCCCCTGGAAGTAAAAAAAAAAAACCAAAAAAAAAGGTTTTAAAAGTTTTAAAAGTTTGAAATACCAGCTGTTAAGATTATGTTTTTACATGTTACATTTTTGGTAGCTAATATTACACCTGAAATTTTTCACCTCTGCAACAGGAATCTGCAAATACATTTTGACATCATTACGATTTACATCATTTACATTTTGCAAATACATTTTGACATCACCTACACAAGAAGTTGGTGACATTAAGGTGCTTCTGGTGAGAAGGTAAATTCTCAAGCGATTCGGCATTTTGTCTGTAAGGGACGATGGAGACAGCAAGGAAAGGGCTGATATACAGGTTTGCAGAGAATCAAAAAAATACAGAAACCTAAAAATGCAGGTGCAGGGTGGTGTCCAAGCACACCTTGAGCAGAAGGCTTTTTTTCCCAACTTTGGCCAAATGGTAACTGAATCGCTTCAGACCAAGCAAAAAACTAATACTTTATTGCCCTCCGTTTCCATTCTCGCTTCTGGGGCCGTAAAACTTTTTGAATATTTAGTATTTTGATCATCAATCAAGAAGGGAAACGTGTGGGTGAAGAAGAAGAGCAGAACTTCAGTTTGGGAATGATTAAACTTGATCTGATACGCTGTCATCTCCATCCTTCAGAGGAGAAACACACGTTAAGTCGACTGCGTTTTGAAACGGAAAAAGAAAGGAAGCCTTAAAAATACTTCCTATAAAAGGCAATGCTGCTTCTGTGGGGCTCAATTAATTACACTGAATTAAAATCAGTACTAAGTCCTCCGGTAGCTTATCACCTCAGCATCTCTGTGGTGCTGCCCCCAGCTCCCACCCTGCTGCTCCTCGAGGAACCCGCAGAAGGGTTTTGCTGCACTTTGTGTCCCCCCTCCTCCTCCTCCTTTCCCAGAGCCATTCATAAAAGCCGTGCCGTGTT